ATATATGAAAGTGTTTGTGGAAAGATAATGGCTAGATTCTTATATTCTCCCATAGCTGGGGCTCTATAATGGTTTCATATCTTACTTTAAACTTATTGATCTTGCTGAAGAAATATGAGTTACCCAGATGAACCTTTAGGTTGCCAAAGGTTATTTTTAAGGAAAGGAGTTGCTTGGTAAAATGAACTATCTTTCCACAGCCTGGTAAAATGAATTATCTTTCCACTTGAGAAGAATTTTCAGTGGTTTGCACTGGAAGAAAGAACTGACAGTTCACTTCAGAAAGTAAAAATAATTTATCAGTTCTATGTTTATTGAATGCTAAGTTCGTATCCCTGTGATACAACTAACACTTCCTAACACATGGTTCCTACTCTCTAAAATCCAACTGGAAAAGTCAGACACATGAATGAAAACAGCCACAAAAAGAGTTAGGGCAGTTCATGACCTCAGTAGCAAAGATTTTCCAAGACATCTGTGCTTATGGCCAAGAGAATGGACAGACAAGGAATACTGTGGGCCTGGAGATTTTGGAGGGCCTCATGGAGGAGGGGAAACCTAAGTTGTCCAGAGGATAGGCAGGCATTTAGGGTAAGGAAATAGCTTCATGCCATGATCAGGAGCAAGGAAATGCCAAAGGGATGCTTAATAAATCCATCTCACTGGGATAGGGGATATGCATAAAGCCTCTTCCTTATTGAAATAAGAAAGAAGGTGATTGGAGTCAGACTGAAGAAGGCCCTAAATATGTAGACACAGAGTTGGGCTCTTTTGTCCCATCAGATGTGGAAAGCCACTGGGAAGTCACAGGCAGTAGATAGCACGACAAAATCCAGGGAGCAGCTGCCAGCCTCGCTCCCATTCATAGTCTCCCGTCTCTTGCCCGGAAAGATTGGGACTCTGAACACACTAGTTCAGAGTTTCTAAGCCTTTTTCCTTAAAGCAAACTTTGGAACATTTGGGATAAAACAATCAACTCTACAAAGACAGGCCATTGCTCCCAGGGGGTGGGGAGGTGCTTTGAATTCTTTTTCCCCTCCACTCCTAAAATGTCATCATCTTCTTCCTTGTTCTTCCCTATTCAATAACAGTGCACACTCGCGCATTTAAAAGACACTTATTGAATAATATGTCAAGTATTTTTCCAAGCACCGGAATATAGTGGTGGATAGAGCACATAAGACTTCTCTCCTAGGGCTTACAGACTAGTGGAAGAAGACAGACAAAACAATATTCAAGGAAACAAAAACAAAATTATTTCAGATTGTGAAGTGGGCGTATGGTGACTGATGGCAAGTGATTGGGGATGAGGAAGCTTCTACAAATAGGGTGATTACCAAAGGCTTTCCCAAAGACAGGACATTTGATCTGACAGCTCAATGATGAAACAGTGCTGGCACTCAGAGCCTGGAGAATATTGTTCCAGACGGACACAAGAGTAAATGCAAAGTTTCCAAGTCAAGACCGGGTTTCATATATTAAGGTATAAAAAGAAGGCCCGTGTGGGTGGAATACAGTAAGTGAAGTTGTGAGAAGTATGAAATGAAATCAGAGGAATGGAAAAAGCACCAGCTCATGTCAATCCTTGCAGTCCTTGGTGAGCAGTTTGTATTTTATTCTGACAGTGACGGGAAGCCATTAGAGGGCTTTACATGGAGAAGTGACAAAATCTTATTTATGATTTTAAAAGATCTCTATGGTGCATGTAGAAGGATATTAATGAGAGAATTGTGTATAGAGGTAAAAGTCTGGAGACCAGCTAATTACCCATCAACAAGGACAAGGTAAATAATTTGTGCCATGAGCATACAATGGGATACCAGGCACCTATGAAGAGTATTTATATTCTGACATGGGTTGTCCATGAGTAAAAAGGTAAGGTGTCAAATAGTGTGGAGTATTTTCCATCTTTGTATAAAAAGATAAAGTAGAACGCTAAAAGAGGAGACTTTGTAAAGAAATTGATTCTCTAATGGTTGGTTTCAGATGGTTTTCTATTGGTCCATGAGGGCCCAGTAGGGTGTCCACCATCTGACTAAAGGGTGGGTCTATCTACCTATCTATTAATACTGTCCTGCTGCCTTCGCCAGCAAAAAACCAGCCACATTCCTGCGCTGAGCTGCCTGTTCCCGGTTTCATGGGTTGACAGGTTCTTAGTGGGAGAAAGTTGCAGTAAGACTCTTGCCAATCACACCCAACATTTCCCAAACAAGGAAAGTAGATCCACAGTGAGCACGAAGCTGAGGCTTAAACTTCTTTCATGTCAAAGGAGTTGGAGTTAGCCTGCTATTTACCATGGAAGGAGCTTCTTTGAAGAATTCTAACTTGAAAAGAAAGTTGTGGATGGAGTGAGACAATGCCATCCTTTCATGGGATGGGGGGCAGGGGAACTCAGCCTCCCACTGCATCGGGCACCAGGGCAAGGCTCCTCCTCTGGCTGTCTTCAACCACACAGCAGGGGCAGTGCGTTATCTGTGGATAGAGTTAAAGCCATCCCAGAATCTACATTTCCCTTCAGCTCACTGCTTTCCTCTGTCACCACCCTGCCTGCAGCCCAGGAGCCATGTGATTCGGGAGTGAGAACAGCTAGGGTATAGAGCAGGATGAACAGTGCTTTCCAGCAACAGAAATGATCTCGTGATGGCCCACCTCTCCAGATACGGTCATCCTCCTCCACCAACACACTTGCACCCACTCACAACTCAAAATGCCCATTGATTTCCTATTGCCATGATTTTGTAGAAAGACCCCTAGACTCTGGTCCTGATACATTAAACCAGTAGTTCTCAAGGTATGGCTCTAGGACTAGCAGCATCACCTGGGAGCTAGTTGGAGGTGGAAATTCTTAGACCTCATCACAAATCTACTGAATCAGAAACTCTGGGAGCAGGGCCTGATAATCTGTACTTTAACAAGCCCTACATGTGATTGTGATGGAGGCCTAGGTTCCCAGCTTTGGCCACACATTGGAATCACCTGGACAGCTTCAGCGAGTACTGGTGCCTAGGTCTCAAGCCAGAGTCTGTAGTAATTGACAAGAGCTGGGTAAGAGCTGGGTAAGGGCTGGATATGACAGCTGGGTATTAGAATCTCTCCCCCCTCTTTTCCCACACTCACACAAACATACCCATACGGGGTGGGGGTGGATTGTATGCGGAAGACAAACAAAGAGGGACATGTATGTCCCTCTTCCACTGGGACATCTTCCAAAAGGATCAACAACTTGTGTTCCTTTTCTCTGCCTCCCTCTTTACCCACCTCCCCTTTTCTATGTTCTACTCTGGGTTTCTTTGAGCATTGCTTGGGTGGGTCTTATCTGCATCATTTCCAGACAGAATGCACTGAGGCTTGCTAAACAGTTTAGCCACTTTCATGATACTATCAGGAACCATCTCAGAGAGCAGCCATTCTGCAAACATACAGGCAGAACTGGTCCTCATGTAGAAAAGTAGAATGATTTATTGAGTTAAAAACACAAGTTGATTGACAATGTACCTCACCACTGTTTAACTCAACAGAAGTACTGTAAAATTTAGCTTGTTTTGGCACTCACTGTCTCTTCCACTTCAGTAAAGATGTATGTTTACAAAAAATAAGTACTTTTTTGACATGGAATAATGCTGTTCTAGGACTGCTAATGTATACTCCCTGCCCACAAGCCTTAACATCTACCCCCTACAATCTGGGTGACTGAAGTTTGTGTCCATTTTTATGTCTCTCTTTGTGCTTTAGGACCCTGAAACCACAGACAGGGTCTATCTACAGCTGTTGCTTTGGGCAGCATCTGATCCTAGAGGAAGACTTTTTGGTGGGGACAATGGGGCTGTCCCCACAGCCCCGGGTGGTATGAGAAGACAAGGAGTGGGAGTAGAGCACATCCTAGTATTCCCTGGGGCGTTGTCTTGTACACATGTTATAGGCAGCAAGTATTATCACCCTAACCTGCCAAACCACTGGGATTTCCTCCTACAAGGGGCCCTTGGGGTTGAAGAGTTCTCAAGGACTTTGAAGAGTGGAGAGTAACTGAACCCGTGCATGCTGGAAATAGCACACAGCTGTCACAGCAAATGCACATCGATTCATACTTGATGGCGATGCTGTGGTGGGAACGCTTCTGAGGGAAGCCCTGCCAGTTACCGCAGAGGCAGCTGTCTGCTCAATATTAGGCCAAGACTTGTCAAATTTAGAAACATACCCTAAAGAAACAGCAGCTTCTGATTCCTCCTATGATTGCTGAACCGCTCAGCCGAGGTCCCCAAAGTCATAATACATTCCTTTATTCAGCGTTCACTGAGCAACTACTACCTGCCAGTCGCAATGCCAGGCACTAGGGAAACAAGAACAAATAAGACCCAGTCCTGTCCCTTGAGAGCTCACAGTCTGCAGGATGAGACACTAAATAATGACAACACAAAGTGGCAAGGGTGTGGCCAAGGCAGGTGCAAGGGCTCCAGGAGCATGCAGGACACCTGATGTCAGCCTAGTGGGTGATCAGGGTACATCTGAGAAGGCCTCCTGGAGGAGTTGATATCTGAACTGATTCTGGAAGGATACTGGGTGTGAACTAGGTGAGTCCCAGTGTCAGAAATAATAGAGGTCATCCTTCAGCTTTGCGAACTCCAAAAAAGGCTATTTCTTGGGTCAGAGATCTCCATTATGGATCTTATAAAAGCTGTGAGCCTTCTCCCTGGTCAAATGTTCATGTATAATTACAGCACAATTTCTCAGGGCTCATAGACTTCTTAAATCCCACACACAAACCCTCTAGGGTCTGTGAACCCCAAGTTAAGGGCTTAGCCAAGATCATTATATCCTCTGGGCTGGAGGAGCCCCCAGAGGCCACTGAACCCAACCCTCATTTCATCAACAAGGAGACCAAGGCCCAGAGAGGACAGAGAACTTGTCCAGGGCCACACAGCCAGAGGACCGGGGAAAGTTGCCGTCTGAAACGAGGGGGAGGGTGTGTCTAGCTCCCAGTCCTCATGGTGGCTTTTCCACAGGGATATTTCCTGGCTGGCACCTGAGCTATATCGACGTGAAGGACAACTCCCGCGACGAGACCTTCCGCTTCCAGTGTGACTGCTGGCTCTCCAAGAGCGAGGGCGACAGACAGACAGTCCGCGACTTTGCCTGTGCCAACAACGAGATCCGCGATGAGCTGGAGGAGACCAGTACGTGGGGAGAGCATCGGCTCAGGAGGGAGGTGGGGAAAGGGGTTGCGATAAGAAGACATCGCTACAGCCGGAGGGGTGTCAGGTGCTCACGGTGGGGAATAATACGGGAGAGATGCATAAGTAAACACCCTAAATGTTGCTCAGTGAACCTGGACCTGCTAGGATACTGGTGCCAGCTCATGGCCCTGAACCACAGGGACTGATGAGGCAGCAGGAAAACCCACTGGGAACAAGTTCACCCTGACCTGAGGCTGGGCTGGGCAGTTTGGTGTGGGGCCCTCTCTGGGTTACTTGTGTGTCATGGACTCCATCCAACTGATGCCGGTGACAACAGCTGCCTAATCAAGCCTTCCTAGAGTCAGGACGCAGGGGAGCCAGTATCTCCATCAGCCACTTTCTCTGTGTTCCTTCCTCAGGGGATATTTAAAGGGAAAGAGTAACTGATCCTGGGGAGACCTGTCTTTAATACAGATGCCAGCGTGTGGGCCCAACAGATTGGAGAAGGCTTATCACAGGCAGAGCCTGATGGAAAGAAGGAATTTTCCAACCTTAGTTATTAAAGCAACACTAGCTGTATAAGAGGCAAACCCCCAAATTGCAGTGTCTTAGCACAACAAAATTTATTTCTCACTCCTTTAATACACAGTCCAGTGTGGGTGTTTGGTCAGAGGCCATCTGTGGGGTGATTTAGAGACCCAAGCTATTTCCATCTGTGTCTGCCATTTCCAACATGTAGCTTCCACATTTTTTTTGCAGAAGGGAAAAGAGAGCATGGAGAAGGCACACCCCTACCTTCTTAACACATGAGCTCACATCCTATTGGTGAGAACTGGTCATGTGGTATCATCAGATGCAAGGGCACCTGGGAAATGTAGTCCCTGGATGGGCAGCCCCCCTTCAGAGGACCATGTAGACCATGGATGGAACGGGTGAATCTTTGGTGGAAAGCCACCCACCCACACTCCTCTCTGCCGTGCCCTCTAAACCCTCCAATGACGAAATTAGCTGCCTTGAGATGTGGTGAGCACTATGTCCCTGTTCCATTTGTAAGGCATGGAACATAATGACTGAGCGTCCTTCACAGAGTTCCTGCCAAACAGCTGCTAAGACCTGCAAGACGTGGGTCGGCCTGAGATGGTGGAGGGGAAACGACACTCGGGTTAGGTCTGGAAGGATGTGTGCAGGCTGGAGACAGGAGGGCAGGGGCGCAGAGCCCAGAGAGGGCCTGGATCGATCTGTCCCTACTAGGAGACTGCAGAGGGCAGAGCGGTGCCCTCTGAGGGGCCCGGGGGCCACAGCCGTGTCCTCAGATGGAGGCTCACCCTGGGGAGAGTCATGGGCCCAGCTTGAGCCAACATCCCAACCCTCAGCTACCTTGATCTAACCATGCGACAAAGCCAGATTGGGGACCCACAAGTGCCAGGCCCTAATCTGACCTCTGGGGACACACCAATGAATGAGATGGAGGCATTGCCCTTGGGACACTTACATTCTGGTGTCGCTGACCCCAGGGCGCCTCTGGGCACTCAGCCATGAGGACAAACACGCTTTTGCATTTGAGCAGAGCATTCCTGAAAGCATTCCACACCCGTGTCCTCACAGCCCCAATCCTTCACTGCGAGGGAGGGAAAGTGCAGATTCACACCTCGGTATCGTGGGTAAGGAAAACAAAAGCCAGACAGGTTAAGTGACACAACTAAGGCCCACTACACCACTCCCCCAGGATGTCTTGTCTTTATCGGGCATGACTGGACTCTTGGATTGAGTGATTTCCCCATCTCGTTTAGCCTCTTGTTTTCTGCCTTCGTCCCTAATTCTCATTAGCAGTTCTAGAAGCTGCTCCCAGCCCTCTGTAAGCATCTGCCAATGCAAGTGATTCCAACATGCAGCCAAAGCTGAAAACCGTTGGCAATCTGTAGACAATGCTAATAGCTGTGTCCCGCTGCCAGAGATTCATGGTAAGTCCTGGGCAGTGAGATCACATGCTCATGTGTGCACATGCACACACACACACACACACACACACACACACACACACACACACATGCACACACACATACCTGGGAGGCCAAAACATCTCCCTTGTTGGGACACCCATTGGCAGGACCAATGCCTCCCTTTTTATGGCCCTCTCCCTTCCTTACCCACCACTCTTAAAGCCTTTAAGGGCTGCTTGGTCAGCCTTCTCTGTGACACTTCCAGCCCAATCACAGTCCCGCTTGCTGGCCAACTCCCCAGGAATGAAGCACTCACTGCTTCACCGGGCAGTTCTGTTAGAAAACCCATCTTCATATTTATGTTCTTGAAGTTTCCATCCTTTGGTAGTCCCAATGGGGTCAAACAGAAAATTTCAGAAGTGGTCTGGACCCTTGGTTGCATGTGCCTGAAACCTGAGTCTAAGCTGGCCTCAGCACAACGGGAATGTACTGGCTCCCAGAACGTGCAAGTCTGTGGTGGCTCTAGCTGAGACTTGGCTGCCTCCAGAGGCTCCAGTGGTTTTCGTATGTCTCTGTCTCTCTTTTCTTCACAGATCTGTTTTCCCCAGTGTGTCACCTTCCTTTCAGTGCCTCTGTGGGAAGATGGCTGCTGGCAGCCCCAGCCTCACACCCTTCCGGTGTGACAGTCCCAGTGGAAGGGCAGAGAGCCTTCCCCAGGGAGGCTTCTGGCTGAGCCGGCCCGGGACTCTCAGCCCATCCAAGCAACACAGTAGGAGCTCCCCAGAGTACAGAATGGTCCTGAAACTCGCTGCGGTGAATTTCTGATGCCCTCTAGAAGCCCAGCTGTCCTCCTCCTGGCATCCCTCCCTAGCCATCATGGGCCCCTGCAGTTCTTGTCTTGAGACTGAACACCAGTTTGTTCTGCAGCTCCTCACACAATGTGTTATCAGATCTTCTCTGCATCCCCCCACCTCCTGCATTGCTCGTTCTTCTCTCTGCAGATGCCTTGCCCAGCACAAAGCCTAGAGTTCAAGGGTGGTCAGCTGCCCCCTCTCCTGTCCTTTCGCTGAAACCCCCACCCATGCCCGCTAAGCCCACAGCAGCTCTGCTGGTGGCCCCTTTGCACTGGTGGCTCCCATGTGCCTCTCCCTCCTCGTGGCTGCTGAGTGTCTCCCTACAGCAGGGCTTGTCCTCGGCTGTGCTGGCCCCACGCTGAGCCACACACTGACCTCTGGGAGACTGGGCACTTCCCTCCGACCTGCCCCATCCTTTCAGGCCCCTGATCCTCCTCTTTCCACTTCCTCCTGGCAACCTGTGAACAAGATTAAGAGTCACACCTTCCGCGTTATTATCATCAAAGCATTGACCATATGAGAAAGAGGGCAAGGTGAAGATATGCTGATTGAAGCTTCCTTTCAAAAGACTCTTGATGTGACTGGCAGCATTTATTTCTAATCTACCTAAATGCCCTCACCATCCTCACTTCTCTACCTTATCCTCAGGGCCATCAGGAAAGAAATTCTCACAGTCTATATAGCACACCCCATTGCTATATAGACTGTCTATGCACACCGCATTGTCTCTCGCACCTCCTACTTGAGTTAATCACGATGACATGGAGGTTCCTAGTGCTCCCTGCCTCCCGCCTTGGCACTGACAAACCATTTCCTTACCCACACCCAGGATCCCCTTCAAATTTACCATTATCTGTTTGTGGACCAGACCTCAGCTTCCCATGGGAACACAGAACAGCCATGGTACAGCTCCCCTCGCCAGGATTGCTGGAGCCCCGGGGCTGGGATCCAAATGGGCCTGCAGAGCCCTCCCTGCAGCAGAAGCTATGCGTTCTCTGTGCATCTCTTCCTCTCCACGGGCTACCTGTGTCTTTGTCCAGATTCAGTCTATATGTTCCGGGTAGCAGAGATTCTCCTTGAGAGAAGTCACACGGGCAGAGGGCTGCTGAGGGGCTGGGATGGGCATTACAATGAGCTGCAGGCAGAGCCATCCCTTTTCTTAATTGTCTTTATCCTACCTCTCAAATAAAGGCATAGAAACAGAGCTACCCCTTTGGATCCAGAATCCCAAACCCTCAACAGTTCACGTCCTGCAGTAAGACCTACATGCACGGGGACACTCCAGAAAAATAGTCACTGTGTCCTACTATGGTGCCAGCTCCATCCTGGGCCTGGCCCCTGGGTAATGGGGCTGAATCCCATGTCACACCCCCACCCCCAGTATCTTTGCTCATGCTCTTCCCTCTGCCTAGAGCATCCCTTCATTTTCTGCTGATTGTAATCATGACCAAGCTCAAATGCCACCTCCTTGGTGAAGCTTTCTGTGATTAGCCCACTCGTTTATTTATTCACTCAGTAACTATCTAATGAGGGCCTCCTATGTGCCAGCCACTATTCTAGGCACTTGAGATCCTGTCGATGAGCAAATTAAAGACTGCTGCCCGCATGGAGCTTACATTCAAGTGTTGGGGGGAGGGATACAATAAGCAGTAAAATATTGAATAAACTACATAGCTTGCTCAAGGTCATAAGGACAACAGAAAACAATAGAGCGAGGTAAGACAGACCAGGAGTGCAGGGGAAATCAGGTTGCAATTTTAATTAGAGCTGTGGTGTAGACCTCCCTGAGAAGGTGGTGAGGGAGTGAGCGAAGCCACTAAGGGCAGAGTGGGGAGGGAGGGGGGAATCGCTCCAGGCAGAGGGACCCGTCATTGCAGAGCTCCAAGGCAGGAGTGTGCCTGAGTGTGCTGGGAACAGCAAGGAGTGAGCCAGGGAGAAAGTACTAGAAGGTGAGCTGGGAGAGGACACTGCTGGCCACGTTTTCCTCTCACCCCGTAGTCCTTTGGTCCTTGGTTGCAAGGTTATCGCATTCTTTCTTCTGGCACAGTCCGTGTTTGTGCCTGGGGCTAGTGATTGAGTTCTAGTGTCACCCAGAGTCTAGTCCAGACCTGACACTTGGCACCCACCCAACACATTGGATGAGTGCCTGCCGTGCAGACACGATTGAGGGAATGGCAGTGAGAGGCAGAGTGACAACCGAGACGGAGATGGGAGTGGGACTGCTTGTCTGCCTGGGGCTTTCCCCGTTGCTTTTGGTAGCAGGGCCCACTCTCCTTTCTTGTCTTCTTGGTGTGTGATCTCCGTTTTGCACGTCAGGGACCGTCCATTCCTGAGAGCAGACCCCGCATCTCTCTGAGTATTCATCCCCACCGCCTGCTGCCTTCCCACTGGCTCCCGGATTCACCGCAGAGAGGTTGCTGCTATAAATAAAGTGGGAAGATCACCCTAGCCCAGAATTGGGGCAGCTTCTGCTTCTGGCCCAGGGATTGTGGCAATTTAAACCTGCCTCCCCCACACCCAGGCTGGGGCCTAAGAGCGAGTGAAGGCTGGAGGGGATGGCCGTGGCGCATCAGCCCTGCTGGTGGGCGCTGCTTCCCCTCTGCTGACCTGCCCGCCCCACCCCTCCCTTACAGCCTACGAGATCGTCATAGAAACTGGCAACGGAGGTGAAACCAGGGAGAACGTCTGGCTCATTCTGGAAGGCAGGAAGAACCGATCCAAAGAGTTTCTCGTGGAAAATGCTTCTGGACAGCGGCGGGCCTTTAGGAAGTAGGAAGCGGGTGCCCACAGGGCATTGGGGCTGGGTGGGTGGGAAAGAGAGGGACCCCAAGGATCTCCCCTTTGGGTGGGAGCCATAGGTAAACAAATGGGCCTAACGAGCAAGTACTTATTGAGCACCTACTGTGTGCCAATCCTGTGCAAGCTCCTGGGGGTGGAACAGGCGACTTCTAAGAGGGAAAGGAGGAACTGCATGTAAGGAGAGCTCACTCTGTGGTGGGACAGTGCCACTCACTGCAGACATTACCCCCGGCCACCTAGACAAGGACCTCACCTCCTTCCATCAGAGCCACGTAACCTCCCCCTCCCCCTTAGCACCACTGAGCCTTTGTCTTCCTCTATTCAGGCTGCTAGAACAGAATAACTTAGGCGTGGTGGCTTAGAAGGCTGGGAGTCCAAGATCCAGCCACCAGCAGATTCGGTGTCAGGTGAAGTTTCACCTCCTTTTCCATAGACGGCCGTCTTCTTGCTGTGTCCTCACACGGCAGGAGGACTAAGGGAGCTCTCTGGAGCCTTCTTTATAAGGGCGCTAATCCCATTCCTGAGGGCTCCACCCTCGTGCCCTAATCACCTCCCCAAAGCCCCACTTCCAAATACTGTCACATCGGGGATTAGGTTTCAACATGGATTTGGGAGGGGAGCACAAACATGCAGTTTATAGCAACCTTTTCTTCACATTCCTTCTACATCAGGACAAAATCTGGGCATGTAGGCACTTACAGACCACCACAGAGTGCCTGCACCCCCTCCTCCATCACCACTCCCCTCACTGGACCCGAGCCCCACCTAAGCCGGCATTCCCCTCAGAAATACCTGCACTTCCACACTCCACTGTTCCCATCCCAGGACTTTGCTAAGACAGGTCCCCTTCTGGGGACTCTCCCTCCATCTCCCCCTCTGCTCTCTGGGTCTCGCCATACCCCCAGCTTAACCCCAGGGCCCCACCCTCCTCCAACTCCATCCTGCCTAATGATGTCGCCGTTCCTTAGTGCTGGGACCAGGCAGCTAGTAGAGATTTTGACTTGTGATTGTCTAGTCAAACTAGACAGAATCCCTCAAGGAACGCAGGACTGCCAGCAGGTCTCGTTGCCATCCTGTCCCTGTTCCTGGGCCCTAGGATGCAGCAGGGCCCTCAGCGAATGCTCGCCGACTTCAGTGGGCAAGGGCAACTCACCTTCCCCACTCTTGTTTCCTGCAGGGGGACCACAGACACATTCGAGTTTGACAGCGTCTACCTGGGGGATATCACCTCCCTCTGCGTGGGCCACCTCGCCAGGGAGGACCGGTTCATCCCCAAGAGAGAGCTGGTCTGGCACGTCAAGACCATCACCATCACCGAGATGGAGTACGGCAATGTGTATGTTTTGAGCCTCGCAGTGCAAGAGGACAGGGTGTGGGGAGGTGCTCCCTTTGGAGCCAAGGTCACCCCAGCCAGAAGGCCTACAAGGCAGGAAGGGAAGAGGCAGCTGTACTGTTCTGAAGCTCCCTGAACTATGCATCTACCACCTGAGGCAGGGGACTAGACCAGATGACCTTGAGTGTACCCAGCCTTGGAATCCAGGGACCTCACCTCCTTCCATCAGAGCCTCCTTGGAACTGCTCAGATGCTCACTCTTTCTTCCCACTCCCTCCTTCCTCCTTGGAATGACGCTGAGAAATTCAAACAGTGCCAGACAGCAGACTTTCCTTGCCTTCCCCCTCCCTCGCTCTATAATGACAAAGAAATCCAGCTTCAAAGCCTGCTGTTCACACAGTCATAGTGAAAGCCCACCATCCATGTGGGCAGAGTAGAGACCAAAGACAAGCTGGGGTAATCCAATGGCCCACCTGTCTCCCAGTGCCCCAGATACAGGGCTCTGCATTTGTCCTGTCAGGGCCTTCTGGAGGCTCAGGCATTTCTGCAGGATTAAGGGTCTTAGTTACCTGGGCAACACTGTCACAGCCATTAATTTGTCTAATTAAAACCACTTGGTAACCACATAGGAAGCCAGAAAGAACCCTGAGGCTCTGGAAGGCAGTAAAGACAATGAGAGGGAAGCAGGGAGCGGTGGCGAGAGGAAGCCAAGGTCAATGTTTGCAGAAGATTGAGTGAGAGCTGAGTGCCCAGCTCACAAGGCCAGGCTTGCTGGGATGCCCACCCAGAACCACTGCCAGCCCCTCACTCCAGCATGCCCTCTCCCCGGGGCTGGCTTTGCTCATTCCATACCCCAGAGCCTTTCCTGCTCCAGGGAAAGTGGCCACTGCCCACACAGGAGCAGCAGCCAGGTGCAGGCCTGCTGGATGCAGGTGGTTTTCTCAGCTGGTTGCTCTGGCTCTTAGGAGCCAAGGCTTCTCAAAGCAATGTCTGTCCAGGCTCAGGCTGTGGCCTGCAGAGTCCCTGGATTTTTGGGTCCCCCAAACTTCCAAAGCTTTCCCTTTGGGAATTGAGCAAGAAAAGGTTCTGACCTCTGAACTTCTGTCCTAGTCTGCCCAGACTGCCATAGCAAAATACCAGAGACTGGGTGGCTTAAACAACAGAAATATATTTCTTACAGGTCTGGAGGCTGGAAGTCTGAGACCAGGTACCATCTCGGTTGGGTTCCGATGAGGGCTGTCTTCCTGGCCTGCAGACGGCCATCTTCCCCCATGTCCTCACATGGCAGAGAGAGCTCTGGTTTTTCTTCCTCTTCTTGTAAGAGCACTAATCGAATCGTGAGGGCCCCACCCTCACAACTGCATCTAAACCTAAGTACTTCTCAAAGGCTCCCATCTCCAAATACATGGGGGTTTCAGCTTCCCACCAATTCAGTGTATGAGTTGGGGACAGGGGGAATACAATTCAGTCCATAGCAGCTTCCCTCCTGAGCTGTGGCATTATTTGCTGTTCTTTCAGAGAAAACCCAGCCTGGGTACAATAAATCCTGCAGGAGTTGCTGAGTGTGGCTGATAGGACCAATACTGATGGGGACTTGAGACCTGGGACACCAGCCCAGAAGAGTGAATGACTCTCCCAGCAAGTCAGGGCTAGGTCACAGCCCCTTCTGCTGCTCCTACTGCCTCCCATCCATAGAGATTGTGGGTGCTGATACAGCTTCTCTGCAACCCCCCCAAAATAAAATAAAGTAAAAGTCACCCTTGAGTTACCTTTAAACCCACAATATTGGTTGTGAGAGAGAGCTCTCAGCCCCACCTGGCACCGTCTAGTCTCAGGAGGGAAGAGGCAAAGGCCCCTGGATACTAGAGTTGCCACCTGGTCAGCTGTGTGGCCTCAGGCAATTGCCCCTCACTTCTCTGTGCCTCACACTCCTGTGGGGGGGAGAGCTAGATACTCTCTAGGGTCTGAGGCAGAGGCAGGACAGCAAGGGGTTCAGCCTGGGAGTTCTCAGATGTCATGCTTCAGCCCAGCCCTGACTGCGTAGGTCTCACGCCTGTGGTCACTGATGGGTGAAAACCTGTCTCTCCCAGAAATGTGGCTTTCATCCCCAGGTGGGGCAGTGGGGGAAGCTTTGCAGCTTAATCCGGTGACGACTCACATGTCCTCGTCCTGGAAGGCACCTACAGTCTGCATCATCACCACTCAATGACACTGCGCGTGCATCTGCAGCTGCTTCCAACCTTCACGTTAGCCACATCGAGATTCCCATGAATTAACAGTGAATCTGAGCTCAACCTCTTATGAACACAACAACCTCCAAATTTCCATCTTCCAACCTTTTCCAATTCCAACCCTTCTTTTCCTTTTTGCCTTTCTGACTTGTTCTAATATCCTCAAGATTTCAGTGGAGGGACACACGGAAAGGCCTTTATTTTTAAAACTGCAAACACCTGTATTGCTTTAACCCGACAGCATCTCTAATACATAATCATTATAAAAATTTAAGTATACAGAAAAGTATATAAAAAAAGTAAAAATTCCCCAGAGCCTTACTTATCAGAGATGGCCCCTCCATGAGCATTTTGATGACCTCACGCTCTCTAGCATTTTTCTAATATATCGCATACGCAATGCTCACAGAAGTGTGTTCATATCATACGTGGTTTTAAATACAGAGCGTTTCTTTGTGCTCAATATTCTCTGTTTTTGCCTTCATTCTTGGCTAGCTACCCTGCTGTGTGTCCTTCGCCAGCCAGAGCCTGGGCTCTACGAGGTCCTTAAGGCCCACATTTTGGTGATCTTATGTCTATTAGAAAACATTTCCTTCTAACTACACCAGGGAATATTTTTCAACCCTCAAAAATAATGAATTAAATGCATACCAGATGACTTGGAGCAACTCCCAGGAAGTATTGTTGGGTGAGAAAAGCAAGATACAAGAAAACATGTCTTATATGATGCCGTTTTGTAAAGGGAACACTGACATCCCCATATGTCTATGTATATGTGGTTCTGTGCAGGGTTGGGTGCAATGGAGGGAATTTGGCAGGCTACACCCTCAACTGTTGCATGGGTTATCTGAGGTAACGGGATGCTAAAGGAGTGAGGAAAGAGAAAGAAGGAGATAGAGCCAAGCAAAAGTGAAGCAAAAAAAAAGTGCATTTAAAAAAGCATGCATATGATCAGATGACTTGTGTACTTATATAGAAGTATGTATATAAGTGGGCATATGCATAAAGAAATACATTTTAAAAGACTTTCATAACAAAGAATGCAAGTATGTCCCCCTCGAAGAAATTGTGGTATGTAACAACAATCCAAATTTATCATGTGATAAGTTAGAGGAAGAAAGATCTCAAAACAGAATAAGGATTTCCTGTGGGATGTCTTTAAATGGCTCACTCTTGAGGGGCCAGGCAGGCCCTGGCTCAGGGTCACCTTGAACAGTGACTTTTCTACTCCAAGCCTTAGTTCTCCCTTCTGTGAAATGGGAGGATGATGATCAGGTTGTCATGGAAGCTAATGAGATGCAAGAATGCAAAGCCCTGGCATTGAGTAATCATGCAGAAAACTGAGTTCTTTTTGCTGTTAAGATTTTTCATCTAAAATAGGGCTTGATTTTGCACCACTGGGCACACCCTTTCAGCGCTGCTTTCCTGAAGTCATTAGCTAGGGCCAGGACTGCTTATATCCAAAGTTGTTAAAATATTAACAAACTGGAGTGGGAAGAAACCATAGCAATCGCTCAGTCCAAACTTCTAGCTTTGCCAATGGGAAAATCAAGATCTGGGTAAGGGATGTGATTTGCCCAAGATCACATAGGTGGTAGGTGGCAGGACTGGGGCAGACCTCAGGCCCTTTTATGCCTGATGCAGCATTTTCCCACTGTGCCTTCTTTCTGACTTCCTCCTTTTAAGTCTTGGACTCACTGTCATTACTCAGAGGCTAAAATTGGATACGTGCAAGGTAAGGTGTGTGTGGGGGGGTACTTCTTGGTCCAAGACCATTTCTCTTGGCCCTGGACTTGCTTCTGCTTATGGTGGCTTCTTCAGTAGAGGATGTTCTCTTGCCCCTTGTACTCTGCAATCCATGAAAACACACACACACACACACACATACACACACACACACACACACACACACATTCTCCTTCTCTCTCTCATAGATCAATTCAGCCAAGTGTGAGGGATTTGGGAGCACAGGTTCAGGATTGTCACTCTAGATTCAGTTTCCTCTGAAGGTGACAATACATTAAGCCGCAAACATTAATCAGTCCCTTTGAGGCAACAAGGGTATTGGCAGGTGGAATGGATAGAGCTGGGAGAAAAGCAGGCAATAGGATTGGGGAGGTCTGGCCATGAGGGGTCTTGCAGGGCATTGTAAAGTCTTTGGTTTTTACTTTACCTGGAAGCCAGTGAAGGGTTCTGAGCAGAGGGATGACATAGTTGGGCTTCATCTCAACACGATCATGTGACTGCTGTGTAGAGATATGGCCACAGGTAGCAAGAAGTGGGGAGACCAGTTAGGAAGCCCTTGATATTTTCTGGGTAGACGATGATGGTGACTTGGACCAGAGTAGCAGCAGAGCAGATAGTGAGTTACTGGGCAGTATTTTCAAGTGGGCTGGGCCTGGATATATCTTAAAGATAGAGTCAATGGGATTTGCTTGTAAATTTGGTATGGAGTGTGACAGGTGGGGTTGGAGGAAGAAATAGAAGGATTAAGGAGCAGCTGGCCACGGTGGCTCATACCTATAATCCTAGCACTCTGGGAGGCTGAGGTGGGAGGATTGCTTGAGGCCAGGAGTTTGAGACCAACCTGAGAAAGAGTGAGACCCCATCTCTACAAAATAAATAAATAAATAAATAAATAGAAATTTTAGCTGGGTGTGGAGGTGTGCACCTGTAGTTCCAGCTACCTTGGAGGCTGAGGCAGGAGGATGTCTCAAGCCCAGGAGTTTGAGGTTGCAGTGAGCTATGATGATGCCACAGCACTCTAGCCTATGTGACAGAGTGAGACCCTTGACTCAAAAAAATAAATAAATAAATAAATAATAATCAAGGAACAACCAGAAGGACGGTGATGCCCCTTCTACTGTGAATTTCAAGCTAAACAAGACCTCGCACTCACATTTTAGCCCAGACATTTCCAGCTCCAATATCCTGTCACCCGGGGAAGGACTCATTTGTGGATGACTAGGGGCTTCCAGGGGCAGGGTGTGACTTTGGCCAGCGTCAGCTGAGCCCCTCCCCGCCTCTCTCCTGTCTCCCTGCCAGGTATTTCTTCAACTGCGACTGCCTGATCCCCCTCAAGAGGAAGAGGAAGTACTTCAAGGTATTCGAGGTCACCAAGACGACCGAGAGCTTTGCCAGCAAGATCCAGAGCCTGGTGTCCGTCAAATACGAGGTCATCGTGACCACGGGCTATGAGCCAGGGGCGGGCACCGACGCCAACGTCTTCGTGACCATCTTCGGGGCCAACGGGGACACGGGCAAGCGCGAGCTGAAGCAGAAGATGCGCAACCTGTTCGAGCGCGGCAGCACCGACCGCTTCTTCCTGGAGACGCTGGAGCTGGGCGAGCTGCGCAAGGTGCGGCTGGAGCACGACAGCAGCGGCTACTGCTCGGGCTGGCTGGTGGACAAGGTGGAGGTCACCAACACCAGCACCGGCGTGGCCACCATCTTCAACTGCGGCAGGTGGCTGGACAAGAAGCGGGGGGACGGCCTCACCTGGAGAGAACTCTTCCCTTCTGCCTGAGCGGCCGGAGGCCCCCTTGCCACCCTCTCAGGGAGAGGCCCCCAGTGACACCTTCCTGCCCTCTGCCTTGGTGGGCAGCAGCCCTGTCCCTCTGGGAGCACACTGGGGGCCAGCTGGCCACTGAGAGCTTCAAGGTCCTTTGGAGGCCACTGTTTGTGGGTGACTCTTTGTGGGATCCTTCTCCCCACCCCACTCCCAGTCTCTAGGACCTACAGGACTCATAATCACTGTGTGTCATAATCCGTGGCTGCCCAAAAATAACTTCTTGCAGTTCCTTTTCCCGTAGTCACAGCGGTGCCAGGCTGGGACTTGCTACAGAGGGTGGTTGGGAAATTGGGGCTTCACCCAGGAGACAGGAGTGGGGAAGGAGAGACCGGCAAGATGGTGTATTTTAGGCAAAAACTAATTAACACTTTTCCCCGGAAAAGCTGGGCTAATTAAATTATTACGAACCACACCCCATAAAGAACTCCTCTTAGCATCTGCTTGCTAAGAAATGTATGTTCTTCCCCGGCTTCAATAAATCCAGGGGCAAATGGAGAAAAACATCAGGAGGAAGTGCGTTTGTGGGGGATTTATGAGACTGTGAAGGGTAGATCATTCTTCCCATCACTTTACAGAGAGCACATCGGCAAGTGCCTGCTGGTTATCCAGCCTGTGATGACACAGTCGGGACTTGGCCCAAAGAGGATGGGACGGCTCCTGCGGTAGCCTGGTCGCCACTGCACGAGAAGGCTGGGAGGGAAAGCGGGGACCGTGGGGTTATCTGGGGAGTAGCGCCTGGACTCTCTGTGGGCAATGTTTGTACTGAGAGCGGAGAGGGGATTGGGAGCAAAATGAAGACATGGTCTCTGCCTTCAAGGAGGACGTGGCCTTGATGGAGAGGCCACAGAAGAACCGCACATTGGGGTGTGCACACAGATGCACACAAGTGCATGTACACTCCCCGACTGACTGTCACAAAGGAGTCTGGCAACACACACACAAGACTTAGCAGAGCTCAGCACCTAACTTCTGATTTTCCTGCAGAGAGAAGGATGGCAGCAAGGAGAGTCAGGCCAAGGAATCTTTCTGCAGGAGGAAACCCCAGAGCCACTGTTTCTGCTGCCCTGTTGTGTCACCTACACCCTCAATCCCAGATAGGTCTAAGCTCTTAGTGGGGCTTCAGAACTCGGCGGCAAGTTCCGAGCACTCTCAGAGACCTCTTGGAGAGAGGTTAAACACACAAGTTCCGGGGGCAGCCTGCCTGGGTTCGAATCCCAGTTCTGCCTCTTAGCAGCTGAGTTTTTGGGCATGTTATTTCGTCTCTCTGGGTCTCAGTTTCCTCATCTGTAAAATAGATAGAATGACAACAGTGCCTACATTATAGGTTATTATGAGTACTAAATGAATTAATAGGTATGTGGTTTTAATTAAATTTTTTTCTTTATTTTTTCAATGCCTTGGTCAATTTGCACAGCGCCCGCATGAAGTGGTGAATATAGCCACCATGCTGAACAAGCAGGACTGATGAGGGAGGAGGAGGAGGAGGAAGGAGGAATCATTAAATAGCTTTATTTTCATCTCTTTCTATGGAGATGCTTCTTCCCCTGCACCTGGATGAAAATTTAGACAAGCCCACAACTCCTCTGAACTCTATTAGATAATAAAAAAGTCCAACAAATCCTTTAAGTCAGAATGTCCATCTGTATTCTATAATCTAAATGTCCAGTCCCAATACATTGGTCAAAACATCAGACTTAAAACTCAGCTTCCTCCCATCCCCCAGCTCAGTGCTATTGCGGGTGGCTGTGCAGTGAGGGAGAGGTGAGTGTGTGTGTGCGCATGTGCAAGTGCATGTGCGGGCATGTGTGTAAGCATGTGTGGGGTGTATATATGTTGTGTGCATGAGTGTGTGTATGTGCTGTGCATGTGTGGTGTGTGCATGTGGATGTGTGTGTATAAGAGCATGCATGAGTGTGTGTGGGGGGTGTGTGGTGTGTGTGTGTGTGTGTGTGTGTGAGAGTCAGCCATGCCTCTTTTCCCCTACCTTGCCCTGTTCCTCCTCCTCCCCCATCTTGGTGCCCCTGGCTTTCTGACTCCTCCAGGGCAGGAGGAGAGGGGAGGGGAGCAGGCAGCTTCCTGTCTGAGGTCTACTGTTGTAGTTGGTGTCTCTTTCTGGACTTGGCGGGTATCTCGGCTTTCTCTTATGAGCACTTGTGTTCACCCTCCACACTGGCCTTTTGTTTAGGCCATAAAACACTCCAGAAGAGGCCCTCTGGCATCCTTTGCTCTGAAACTCTGGACATTCGGGCCACTCATCTCTCTGTGCTGGCCAGCCAGCCCGTCTGTCACCCCTACGACTTCTCCAGAGGGGCAGGCCAGTGTGACCTCAACTGAGGTGGATACACCCCCTCTGCAAACAGCTCCGTTGAAGCCCCAATGGCGGCCTTGGATTAAAGGGGGTTAAAGGGTAGCCAAGAGGAAGGAGGCACTCATCTCTCTCTGAATGTCCTGGGCTCATCCCCACTGTCCCCCACCCCAGTCTCCCTCATAACCTGGAGGATGATGTGCTGCCCAGAGTCTCAACCAGTTCTCTGCCATGTCTCTCTGGCAAGTGCTGCATGGCAGTCTCACTGTGGAATGTGGCATCTGTTGTCTTGCTGGTGCAGCCAGAACTGGCACAGGAAGAGCCCGTTATTGCCCTGTTGCTGATGTGCTCTGTAGACGTTGGCTCACTATTGTTGGGGCAGGGCAGACCTGGCACAGCCATGTCCCCATGGACTTGGTCAGCGCTCCTGCCTCCCTTCCTGCACTGTCTGCACAGCTTTCCCCAGAGGACTTGTCAGGAACTCATGAGACTGTTGCTGTGAAAGCTTCGTACAAAACTCTTGCTACCTTTGGCTCATTCAGGTGCACTTGCTTACTTACAGGGCGCCTCTGACCCCAAGCTCACCCAGTTCTCCAAATCCCTGGGACCTGGGCCAAGTCCATCTCAGCAAGTTGCCTATAGCTCTGTGTCCAACATGGTGCCCTCCAGCAATGCCATACACACTGTCCCCTCTGCTGTGCTTCCGTAGGGCTGTCCTCTCTTCCCGGAGTCTCCCTGTCGCCCATCCACCCCTCCATCTCTCTAGGCACTGTGCTTCACATTGTTTTATTGATACATAAAAATTGTACATATTTATGTGATACATGTGATATTTTGACACAGGCATACAATGTGTAATGATCAAATCAGGGCATATCCATTACCTCAAATATTTATCATTGCTTTGTGTTGGGAACACTTCCAGTCTTCTATTTTGAAATATAGAATAAATTATTATCTATAGTTATCCTACTGTGCTATCAAGCACTTGAAAGTATTCCTTCTAATGGTATGTTTTTAATCCATTACCCAATCTCTCTTCATACCCCCCGCCCACCCACACACATATCCCAGCCCCTGGTATCGATCATTCTATTCTTCACTTCCATGAGATCAACTTTTTTGGCTCCCACATATAAGTGAGAACATGCGATATTTGTCTTTTGGTGCCTGGCTTATTTCACTTAACATAATGGCCTCCAGTTCCAGCCAATTGCTGCCAATGACAGAATTTTATTCACTTTTATGGCTGAATAGTATTCAATTGTGTATATATAACACATTTTCTTTATCCATTCATCTGTTTATGGGCACTTAGTTTGATTTCATATTTTGGCTATTGTGAATAGTGCTGCAATAAACATGGAGGCACAGGTATCTTTTTGATATACTGATTTCCTTTCCTTTGGATAAATAAATACCCAGTAGTGGTATTGCTAGATCATATAGTAGTTCTATTTTTATTTTTGAGAAACATCCATACTATTTTTTCATAATGGCTATACTAATTTATGTTTCCACCAACAGTGTATAAGAGTTCCCTTTCCTTCACATCCTCACCAGCATTTGGTTTTTGTCTTTTTGATACTAGCCATTCTAACTGGGTGTGATGATATCTCATTGTAGTTTTGACTTTCATTTTTCTGATGATTAGTGATGTTGAGCTTGTTGGCCATTCGTATGTCTTGTTTTGACAAATGTCTATTCAGTTCCCTTGCCCACTTTTTAATGGGATTATTTGGGTTTTTGCTGTTGAGTTGTTTGAGTTCCCTCTATATGGTGGCTATTAGCCCCTTTTGGATGAACAGTTTGTAAATGCTTTCTCCCATTCGACAGGTTGTCTCTTCACTCTGTTGATTTTTCTTTTGCTGTGTAGAAGCTCCTTAGTTTAATTTAGTCCCATTATTCTAATTTTGCTTTTGTTGCCTGTGCTTTCAAAATCTCAGCCATAAAATCTTTGCCTAGACCTGAAGTGTTTCCCCTATGTTATGTTTTCTTCTAGTAGGTTTACAATTTGGGGTCTTATGTTTAAGTGTTTAATCCACTTTGAGTTGATTTTTGTGTATGGTGAGATATAGGGGTCTCATTTCATTCTTCTGCATATGGATATCCAGTTTTCCATGCACCATTCATTGAAGAGGGTATCCTTTCCTCAATGCATGTTCTTGAAACCTTTGTCAAATGTCAGTTGGATGTAAATATGTGGATTTATTTCTTGGTTCTCTATTCTGTTCCATTGGTCTATGTGTCTGTATTTATAACAATCCCATGCTGTTTTAGTAATATTATTTAGTAATATTTAGTAATATTAGTAATATTAGCTATTTAGTAATATTACTATACATTTGTAATATATTTTCAAGTCAGATAGTGTGATGCCTCCAGCTTTGCTCTTTTTGCTTAATATTGCTTTGGCTATTCAAGGTCTGTTGTGAGTCCATATGAATTTTAGGATTGTATTTTCTATTTTTGTGAAGAATGTCATTAGTATTTCAATAGGAATTTCATTGAATCTGTAGATTTCTTTAGACAGTATGGTCATTTTAATATTAATTCTTCCAAAACATGAGCATGGATTGTCTTTCCTTTTTTTTTTGTTTGTTTTTTTGTTTTTTTGATGTCTTCTTCAATTTCTTTCCACAGTGTTTTGAAGTTTTCCTCATACAGGTCTTTCATCTCCTTGGTTAAATTTCTTCCTACACATATTTTTTTAGCTGTTGTAAATAGGATTGCCTTCTTGATTTGCTTTTCAGCTAGTTCATTATTGGTATATAGAAATGCTACTGCTTTTTGCATGTTGATTTTGTATTCTGTAACTTTACTGAATTTATTTATCAATTCTAAAAGTTTTTTGATGGGATCCAGAGATTTTTTTCTATATATAAGATTGCGTTTTCTGCAAAGAGGGACAATTTGATGTCTTTTCCAATTTGGATTCTTTTTTTCTTCCTCTTGCCTGACCACTCTGTCTAGAACTTCCATTACTATGGAGAAGATAGTTGATATGATTTTGATTTTTTAAAATTTTATTG